CTCAACAACCATTATTGAGCTACAAAAAAAATCGATCATGCGCCATCTGTTGAACGCAGCTAAGGCCTCCATATCGGCCTATTGGAAAAAGATGGAGGTTCCGTCGAAGGAGGAATGGATCAGGCGAGTGGAGGACATTCAGGGTGCAGAAGTGCTCCATGGCTCCCTGACGGGTAGGGAAACCAAACATGTGGAAGCATGGCAACCGTGGTTTATGTATGTTTCCCGATACCTATGGAATGGGGGGGGCCCCGGGGTCAGGGGCGGTGCGCGGGCTCCGGCCCCCTCTTAGCATGAACCATATACCGTCCCCTCCTAACCCTACCTTTCCTTCTCCACCTCTTATCTTCCTCTCCTCCCTCCCATACTTGCCCTTTCCCCCTTCACACTCATACCCTGACTAGGAAGGATTGAGGAAAACCTAAAACAAAGACGGGAAGACTACCTCTCACCGAAAACGCGTCACATCATATATTTGATGCAACACATACGCAACCCACCCACCAGAACCCTCACACCATCAGTGGACACATAACATACACACATATAACACACCGACTGTAGAACACAGAAGGGAAGATACTTGCAAGCCCTGAAACACCACCTTTAACCACCCCAGATAGCACTTACACAACTCTCAAAACAAAGGCAATAGCCGCTTCCCCATTAGACCGAATAAAAGGGAACACGCACCGAAACGGAACATAATAAATTAACGGGGACGACAAATGCTAGGCATAAGCAACGCAGGCTCCGAGCCTTAAGCATAACCAAAAAATTGAGAAGGATCACAAATTGAGAATGATCACGAGACTCGGAGATGAATGCTCTGTACCCCTCGGAGGAGGGGCATGGAAAAGGCTCCTAAGCCAAAAGATTCAGGGCATCAACTCACAGCTCTGAGCCTCGCACCAGTCAAAAACTTTAACATGATGTGGATAGTATTCTCAAATTGATGATATGAAGGAGACCTGCGTGTCCCAAAATGCAAATCTTTTTGCCGTATGTACCGACTGTATGAAAAACTTTTCAATAAGAACAGATTAACAAAACAAAAAGGGTGAACACATCAATGTGATGAGGAATTGTATGACAACACTTTTCTATAGCAAATTAACCTACAATAAAGTTCAACAATACCTTATTAAGCTTCATTCTAGAATATGGAACTATGCAGAAATGAATAGCAGTATAGGTCATAGGACATCAGCATGGACCTAGATCCCAGAATGGAATTGATGGCCAGGGTGGACAGATGTTATTCTTCTGCATGTATGCCACTTGCTTTTGATTACTGCAGGTAGGTACCCCAGTAGGCACACATTCCAGGGGTCCAGTAGCCATAATCAAGTACTCGTTAGAATGTTCTGGTCAGTTTGGGTCAATTCAAGACAAGGGTCACCAGGACAGAGAGAATAGGTAAAAAAAAACAGTAACGTGCAAAGGAGGCACACACTCAGTACATAATGCTGCATTAGGCTTCAGAATGTAGAAACTCAGAAACTCTGAAGCAAATGGATTTCATGATAGAAGAAACTAAGACTGCCTCAGGTCTCAGGATAGAAGAATGAATGTTGTCAAGGTGGTCAGAGATTAGAGGTAGGACGGGGGTGTCCAAAAGGTAGACAACAGATGTTTTAAAGCTACAGCTTCCATGATGCTTTGCCATTCTAAACACATTCTAAAAGCATGCAAAGCATAATGGGAGTTGTAGTTCTACAAAGTATGTGGATCTACTTTTTGGGCACCACCAATGTAGGGAATATTCAAGAAAGAATGACTAAATAGTGTCTCTACAGTTGCTATTTCCAGGAATCTACCGCAAGCTGATTCCTCTGCAGAGGCTGAAATCTCTGGTCTATGCAATTTCTGGACATCTCAGGTGGTGGTTCCAAAGAAAAATTGTAAAGGCATTCAGAAAGTATGAGATGACAAAACCAAGTGACAAAAAATAAATTTCTTTGCCTTGCAAATGAAAGACCCTGAAGGAGCCCATTGGCCACCAGATTGTTTAGTACAGTACTTTACCACACTGAACAGTTTGATGACTATACTCAAAACATGACTACACAATACTGTATACACATGCACTTAGATTAACCAGTATGTGTTCCTTCCGGTTTTAGAACAGGAGGACTCAAATGGATGCTGCATTATATGGTATTTAAAATGTAAGCCTTTAAATTTAACTTTTAATTCATTAATTATTTGTTTATATATTATGTACTTTTGTTATTAACATTGGACTCTTTCTATCTTCTTACTACATGCCACTAGTTGGAATATGATAATCAAGAATAGAACTATTGCTATGCCTTGTACTGGATTTTAGGACAGGGTACTTGCTCTGATTGCTTTTTGTAGACAACAATTCTGTTCCAAAATCCATCTAGCTAACTTTACTTCACACAGCATTCTTTCAATTGCCCGGCTGGTTAAACATAACCCTTTACTTTTTTCTAATATGTAAAAGTTTGAAACCTACGAAAACCCAACTTACCTTCATTGGCAATATTTAATATTCAAATTTCGTTCAAATGCTTATTTCCACAATATCCTCTCCGTCCAATTTATTAAATTTTGACACAATAGCTCCCATCCTCCCTTGGAAATTGTTTAAACACTCACCATCATAGAATCCTAATTTTAAGGCAACTACAGGAAAAGTTAGCTTAATTTCAATGACCATTTTTGGTTTGTTTGCAAATTCAAACTATATTATTAGCACAATTTTACCTCAGCTACAAGACGATAACTAGACTTACTTATTAGACTGTGTCATTTGGAATCCTTCTTAAAGCAGCACTGTCATGTAAAACTTACCTTTCCTTAATCGCTTCCTTTTCTCTCCCTCTCTCAGGATCTGTTCTTCTTTTTTTCCTGTCTGCTCTACTTTTCTTTAAAACATAAGACAAAGTATAGACTTTGGCTTACGTATTTTTTCTATGCTGGACCAGCTCAAGTGGGTCAGAGAAATTTTCCCACAATACTCACCCTTTCCTTGGTGATCTTGCGATGCCTGCTATTACTATTCCCGAACGTCCTGTCATTTAGACAGTACGCCGGCGAAACAGTTTGTTCATTCATGTTAGGATCCAATTTGGGACTTTGTTAATTCCGGAATTTCATTAGAATTAATGAAATGTTGATCCTATTTGTGCCGTGGCTGCACCTTGCAGCTGCTTAGTAGATAGCTCCCTAATTCCCACGGTATCGGGAGCTATCTACCAAATGCTGAAAGACCAAGATTAGTCTTTTAGCCAATTTTACTAATGCTAAAATCTCAAAGATTAATTAATATTAGTAATTAATATTACCCTACTCGCTATGCCGAGAGTAGGGGCATGTCTAGTAAACAGTGTGCACCCAGTGGCTGCTCACCGTTGGAAAAAAAACAAATGCCCCTTTTCAGAAATGGCCCCATGGTGGGGCAACTATTAACAAGCAGGGAGGACAAAGTGTCCCCGAGCCCCCATCCGTGCCCCGCGAGTGGGGGCTATTTAATTAAACGAGGGACATAGTGTCCCCCTTGGCCCCCACCCCTGAATGGCGGATGGGGGCCCTAAATGACAATAAGGGGGGACCTATTGTCCCCCCCCCGGCCCCAACTCATTAACTGCGGGTGGGGGCCCTAAAAGACAATGGGGGGACATTATTGTTTCCTCACCCCAGCCCCCATGAAAAAATACCCACCCCAGGTGACTAGGGGTCCGCAAGTCCCTAGTCATCCTTAGCCCCCACACCCCCCCCAAAAAACAGACCCGAGCTCAAAGAAAAAATAAAACAAAAAAAAAATCCAGACACTTAAAAAATAATCCATCTTCAGTCAGCGAGGGCACCGCCCGTCACTCATGGTTGGGGGCCATGGGGGACACCAGGTCCCCCCTTATTGTCATTTAGGGCCCCCACCCACTGCACATGGATGGGGCCGAGGGGGCACTAGATCCCCCTTTATTGTCATTTAGGGCCCCCACCCGCTGCACATGGATGTGGCCGGGGGGGCACTAGGTCCCCTCTTATTGTCATTTAGGGCCCCCACCCACCGTTCATGGAATAGAATGAGGGAGGACATTGGGGCTTAGGAAGTAGCAGGGAGCACTGCTCCCTGCCACTTCTATTTTTACATATTACAGGGAGGTAGCTGTGAGCTGGTAGCTCCCTCATTGAAATAAACTGAACGAGCATATGAACATTGACATTCGGTGTTTGTTTGTTAGTCTGAAATTTCTATTCATACATTCATCTTTTTGACAAATGAATGAATAGACAAAATTTCCATCCGAATTTTGGACAATAGCGAATGCCACAGGGTTTAACTGGGCATGCACGTGAATTTTACAGCGCTATGTAGTGTGGGCAGATGACGTGTCCCACAGGGCCTTCATCTGCCCACACAAAGATGGCGGCGCCCAGGACCTAGGTCCGGGTTAAAAATAAAGTTAAAAAAATAGGTAATAAGGGCATTTGGGGGTGGCTAGGGGGGCAATTAGATGTAGTAAAGTCGGAAGAAGGTTTAAAAAAAAAATGGATAAGGCCATCACAGTGCCGCTTTAAAGCTAGCTATTCTATCAGGCTACTCTATGGTTGTATTAGAACAGTATTAGATCATTCTATACCATGGGTCGTCAACCTGGTCCCTACCGCCCACTAGTGGGCGTTTCAGGATTCCAGGTGGGCGGTAGGGATTTTCTAATTTTGAGAGACTGGGCGGGCGGGTGCGAGCTGGCGGTACCCCTGCGACCAGGTACCGCCATCACCACTTGTGGCCCTGGCCCGCATGGCAAACCGCCGGGGCCGCATATGGAGGGGTCCACCCGATGGATGTGGATTGTGAGGGGGCCCGGTCAGCGCTGGGCGCTTTAACAGCACGACCAGGCTCCCTGTGATTACATCACAGAACTGGGAGGAAGTGACTGCACGTCACTCCTCCCAGCTAACACTGAGTGCCGCGCGGGAGGAAGACCAGGGAGTCAGAGTGGGAACTGGTGGTTCAGTGTAGAGTGAACTCTAGCCCGGGTTCTCTGCTGCCTCCCTCCATGCTGCTGTGGACCGGTGAGGTAGAACTTTGATCTCCCCACCGGCCCATGGAGGCTTAGACCAGAGATCTCCCCTGCCGGTCTCTATCCATTGGCGTGCCGCGGGGATTAGGGTGTGCCCAGGCACACCCGACACACCCCGTGCGCACGCCTATGGAAGTGAGGGATGGGGGAGACAGCCTACATGAAGAGTCAGCAAGGAGCAAGAAGGTAAAGTAAGAAAAGGAGAAGGAACAGAAATGAGCAGGAAGGGACATCAAGGAGCAGAAAGGGGCAGCAAGGAGCTGGAAGGGACAGCAAGGAGCACAAAAGGTAAAGTAGGAGAAGGAGCACAAAGGAACAGAAATGAACAGGAAGGGTCAGCAAGGAGCTGGAAGGTAAAGCAGCACAAAGGTAAAGTAGAAGGAGCAGAAAGGGTCAGAAATGAGCTGGAAGGGGCAGAAGGAGCACAAAGGTAAAATAGGAGAATGAGCAGGAAGGGCCTGCAAGGAACAGGAAGGAGCACAAAGGTAAAGGAGCTGAAAGAATCAGAAGGAGCACAAAGGTAAAGTAGAAAAGGGAGCAGAAAGGGTCTGCAAGGAGGAGAAAGGGATCAGAATGAGAAAGGAGCAGAAGGGCGCTAAATAAGCAGAAAGTAGCAGAAAGGTAAAAGAGCAGAAGGGGCCAAGGATAGAAAACAGTGTCAGAAGAAAAAAAAGACTGTCAAATGAAGGGGAGGAAAAGGAGATTGGAGCAGGAAGGACAAATGAAGTGAACCCTCCACTTTATTCTGGACACCATATCATAAGGCTTTGGTACCTGGGCCAGGCAGGAAAATGCTGGACCTTCTCATCTCCAAAGGTAAAAAAATATCAGTATTAATGTGTTTATTTACTGAGTGTCAGGAAGCACAGAGTGCCGTTGGGTAGGGGTGTTGCTGATTGGCTAGAGCGGTCAGCTGGCACTCTAAGCCAATCAGTAGCTCCCCATTCATAAAAAAGTTAAAATATTTTATGAACCGGGAACTAGCGATTAGCTTAGAGCGTCAACTGTCCACTCTAGCCAATCAGCGGCACCCATGCTTGACGTCAATCTGCACGTCCTGACACTCTGTTTCAGAAGCCAAATACCACTGAGCAACCTGGAGCTGGAGGAAGCCTTTGGGGTTAAACCATTTGAGAGCAATTTAACCCCTTAAAGGAAAGCGAGCACCCAGGGGCTTCCTGGCATAGCATTTTCATTTAGGTGAAGTTGTTATGGTGACCAAAATGGTCCTTTAATTTGCTTAAAGGAACACTATAGTGTCAGGAATACAAACATATATTCCTGACACCATAGTTGTGAAAACACCCTTCACCCTGGCTTTATGTGATAATGGCTATGCCCCTTCCCTTTCATGACACTGTCAAAAAGGTACCAAGCATGGATGTCATTACAATTATGCCCCCCCCTGGAAAAATTCCTGTGGACGCCCATGGCCCCCACCCACTGCTCAGGCGGGGGGGAGGACAATAGGTCCCCCCTTATTCTAATATAGGGCCCCCACCCACCGTTCAGGGGTGGGGGCTGGCGGGGCAATAGGTCCCCACCTTCAGGTTAGAAGCCCCCACTCGCATGGCACAGGTGGCTGCTCACTGTTTACTAGACATGCCCGTACTCGCTGTATAGCGAGTAGGGTAATATTAATTACTAATACTAAGTAATCTTTGTGATTTTAGCATTAGTAAATTTGGCTGAAAGACCAATTCAGGTCTTTCAGCCTTTTAGTTGATAGCTCCCTCATACCGTGAGAATTAGGGAGTTATCTACTTATTCATTCCTGTCATTCCATTGACTGGCTAAGTAACTTACATTTTTTATAAATGTGTGTTACTTGATTGTTGTAAGTATTGCAAATGCTTACAGCTGAATCCTGGCTATGTTTGTATACTTTTTATTTAAAATTGTATACAGTGTAACATTCTTCTTCTTCCACTGGGTAAGTATAGTAGTACTTAGGCAATACTGTGCTTCGGAACTTGGCAACTTCGGCACTTGGCAACTTGGCAACTTCGGTAATTTTGGAACTTCAGGACTTCGACACTTCGGCAATTCAGACATTCGGAAGTACCCGAATGTCCGAATTGCCCGAAATTCAGACATTCGGAAGTACCCGAATGTCCGAATTGCCCGAAATTCGTCCGAATTCATATTCGGACCGAAACGAATTGCACATGTCTAGTTTGCATGAGCCAGTGTGTGTGTGTTTTAAGAGCCAGTGTGTGTAAGAGCCAGTGAACGTGTGTATGTATCACTGTGTGTATGAATGAGCCAGTGAGTGCATGTATGTGTATAGATTAATAAAATGTTGTCATTGAGAGTGAGCATGGGTTAGTGAGCAATAGTGTGCGTCGGAGAGTGATAGATATAGATATATATGCTACGAGGAGGCAAAAGAGATAAGATACATTGAAGGGGAAAAAGACATTAAGAGCGGGGATCAAAGACACAAAGGGATTAAGAGTCCACAAAAGGTGGGAAAAAGCATGACAAAATTGACAGAGTATGCAATATGCAAAAAGGTAAAAGAAACAAAAAGACGGCAAGATGCAAAAAAGGCAAAAGAATGGATAAGATGGGCAAAAGTGGGAGCTAATAGACACACAGGTGTAAACAAATTTTGGGGGTGCCAAAATGCGTCTCCGTCTGCGTAAACAGAAATCCTTGCACCTGCCCTGATTACAGGTAGTTTTTCCATTGAGGTATCAATGTAAGATTACAACATTTAGGCTTGCGCCTTAATCAGGCATAACATTACACTTCCTCTAGTGGGGTTAAATAGGTAACTAATTATGTTACATGATCATCGGTGAGTTAGTTACCATAACACCATAACAGTAAGATCATAGCAACAAATACACACACATAGAACATACAATGCTATTCCATCTTTAAAAGAACAAGTCGTATCAAAATTGAACATCAGGGAAAAATATAAAATGTTTTACTTGCATACTTGAGTGGTATTGCTGAATGAAAAATGGTCCTTGAAATCTGGCACATAATTTCTTTTAAAACTAATGAATAATGTAATTACAATATGAAATTAAGTATTTATATATATTTCCAGAACTAGAAACATCTCGTCTTTTTTTCTCTTAATTTAGTGTGAACATGTTTCATTTTTGGAAGTTATGTAATATTATGAGAGATATTTGATATTAAAAATGTAAATCATAAAGTCTGGCACCCTGGAAGTAAATACTGTTTTAAAATATTAATATTAAATCCCTTTGATACATTTCTGAATTATAATGCAAATACCGTTTTACTACAATGCTTTCTAAGCCAACGACCATCACTGCTTATACACTAACTTCGGATGGAAACCTGGACAAATAGCGATCCCAATAAACAGGGAAATTAAGAAAACTAGATACAGCTCCACAGCACGGGAACAAACCTGCTCAATATGTGATCGTATTGCCCTCTAGTGGAGTTACATAGTCATTACATGAATGTTGCATTTTTAGATCAGAGCTCAGAACACATAACTAATGTAACTCATCAAGATTCTTTCCCTGCCACCTCCAAATAATGCCTTCCAACCAGCCCTCTCTCTGGAGGACGTTCAACGTTCGCACTGTGCAGTACTGACCCAGGAAGCAACTCTAGTGGCTATCTAAGTGACTGCCACTAGAGGTGTGCCTAGGCAGTAATGTAAACACTGCCTTTCCTCTGAAAAGGCAGCGTTTACATTAAAGGACCACTATAGTGCCAGGAAAACATACTCGTTTTCCTGGCACTATAGTGCCCTGAGGGTGCCCCCCCCCCCTCAGGGACCCCCTCCCGCCCGGCTCTGGGGGGAGGAAGGGGTTAAACTTACCTCTTTCTCCAGTGCCCGGTGGGGAACTCTCCTCCTCCTCTCTGCCTCCTCTCCTCCTCTTCGGCTGAATGCACATGCGTGGCAGGAGCCACGCGCGCATTCAGCCAGTCCATAGGAATGCATTCACAATGCTTTCCTATGGACGCTGGCGTCTTCTCACTGTGATTTTCACAGTGAGAAGCGCGGAAGCCCTCTAGCGGTTGTCAATGAGACAGCTACTAGAGGCTGGATTAACCCTAATTTAAACATAGCAGTTTCTCTGAAACTGCTATGTTTATAGAAAAAAGGGTTAACCCTAGCTGGACCAGGCACCCAGACCACCTCATTAAGCTGAAGTGGTCTGGATGCCTATAGTGGTCCTTTAAGAGGCCTGCAGAGACAGGCTATACTGAAAAGAACAGCTATATTAAGCTGTAGAAATTTTGGTGACTATAGCGTCCTTTTGAGTTTTAATGGTACCACCAAAACATTGCTAAAAAAAATAGGATGTTCTGACCATTTCATGTATTCTCAAGTCTGAGCGTATTGGGATGGTAGTATGACATTTGTCATTAATAAACAGTACTCAAGGAGCCGTGTGCCAGCTGAAAATTAATGCTTTCTAACAGGTGTCCACCACCCACCCAGGATTATTGCTAATATTGTCACTTAACCCTGCTATGTGCAACAAGTCAGGAAGTCAGGGAGGAGAGGGGCTGAGGGACTAATTCCTTTTTGGTATCAAATGCAAAAGAATAATAAGCGCTCTCTTCTCAGGGGTGAGCAGCAGTTCACCAACAAGGTGTTCCTCTACCTTGTGATAAATAGACAGATAAAATAGAAAGGTGAACAGCGCTAAAAATCAGAAAATGTACATACGTTTTGTAGAAATACTGGCCAGCAGAGTAACTTAAAAAAAAGAGAAACAAAAATACAAATAATGGTACAGTATGTATGAACGATATAGTTCCACAAGAACAAAGGTGTTATATTCACACTCACACTTTGAGGAGCTATATCAGCTCGGTGTTAAGAGCCTGGACGGAATAATCCCCGTCTATGGATTTCTTGAGGTTCAAGACCGTTGGTGAATTTATAGGTGTAAATATTCGTTACATGAAAAACAAGAGTAAAATACACCACATGGTATAGTACGTAAATATAAAATATTGTGAAAAAAAAGTGGATGATCCTACTTACATATACTAGAGCAACGACCTGCTCTAGTTTGGAGAATTTCAGGTGGAATAATCCCCACCTTGGGATATAGTGGACCCAGGTATAGCAGCAAAGCAGTATTGGATAGGAAGGAGGACAAAAGGAATGACTGGATAGTTTAAAAAATATATATACTTTAATACAATAAGTAAAAAGTGAATAATAAACTATAAAACCAGTCCTGTTTAAAAGTCCAAAATTCTTCCTCACTTGACGCGTTTCGCCGAAGCTTTCTCAAAAGTGAATGCTTGCTGCTTGGGGTCCTTGAGATTATATACCTTCTCTGATGATGAAAATCGATTCTGCTGTGCATATTTCCTCATTTCCTGTTTTCAGCAAGATAGCATAGACAGGAAGTTCTCCGGACACCATCTTGGATGTGGGCAATTTGTGGGAAAGTTCAAAAATAGGAATCAAAGGTATACAATAACATAATAACATATTGAATCAGATAAAAACGTGAATAATTACAGATGTGGCCACACATAGAGTATATGATAGTAGAAATCAATTCTACTATGTGTATTTCCTCATTTCCTGTTTTCAGCAAGATGGCATAGACAGGAAGTTCTCCGGACGCCATCTTGGATATGGGCAATTTGTGGAAAGTTCAAAAATAGGAATCAAAAGTATACAATAACATAATAACATATTGAATCAGCTAATAACTTGAATAATTACAGAAATGGATACACATAGAGCATATAAGTGACATAAAAGATATAATAATTAATTACTTGATAGTGTCATAAACGAAACTGTTCCGGCCGCCATTTTAAATATGGGCTAGTGATAGAAATTGAGCTCAAAGAATGCCATATCGAAAAAGAACATACTTTAAATGGAAAGGGGACATGTATATACAGCTAGGGGAAATATAAATAGTATAAAAACACAGTAGTATC